GGTGGAAACGATGGCTTTTCATCACTTACATTAGCTGCAGTTCAAATCCAGAAACAGAGGGTGACCGTGTTTTCACTTCGTGCTGTATGACTTGTACTGACATTCTGCTTGGCATTGGTCAGGGACCTGAGCCAGGCCATCTCAGTGCCAAAGAGGTAAGACTGGCACTTCCTGTAGGCTAAGGTAGAGGAAGGCTTTATGTCTTGGAACTCAGATGTTCTGCAGCTCTTTTCATATGAATGAAGTCTGAATTCTGCAGACCAGCCCACAAGACAAGGCCATCATTTTGTACATTCAGGTTAGGCTAAAGAGGACGAGTATTTTCCATGGTAGGTATATACAGGTTACAGTATGAGAATGGTGGGATATGAGATTGCTGTAGGTGCACAGACATTAATTATGACTCCCACTAACTACATAAATACATAGTGCTAACAGATGTTCTGACTCCATACTCCTCCCATCTCATGTAAAAATGCTCTTAACTTGCCTGGATATCTTTCTTGACTGTCTATGGCTCTCTCTTATATGATTCTGGGGATGGCCCGCTAAGCTAATCTTAGACAGACACCCTTTTTTCTTTTTCTTTTTTCTTTTCTTTCTTTTTTGTTTTGTTTTTTGTTTTGTTTTGAGACAGGGATTCTCTGTGTGGCCCTGGCTGTCCTAGAACCAGCTCTGTAGACCAGGCTGGCCTCAAACTCAGAGATCTGCCTGCCTCTGTCTCCCAAGTAATGGGATTAAAGGTGTGCACCACTGCTGCCCAGCTGAACACTCTTTTTTTCTATCATGACCATGAAAAAGTTCATCTTTCCCTGGTTTGATCTAAAGATTCTGTTGTTCATTATCCATAGAGTTGATTTCTCCAAAACATGGTAGGATGCCAGAATATGCTCCTGTTGTAAGGATTATGTCCTTAATTACGTCACCAGCCTGCCATGGCGTCCCAGCCTAAAAAGCGGGAGTGCCCTCTCTGTGCTCTCTCTTTCCACACTCTCTCCTTCCATATTCTCACCCCTCTGCGCGATCCCTCCCTCCCTCCCTCCCTCCCTCCCTCTCTCTCTCTCTTCCATTCTGTCCCAATAAAGCTCTAGAAAGGTAACCATCCGTCGGCATAGCCGCCGCTTAACCAACACCTGTGGTTTGGGGTGACCTTCGTTGATGAGCATGACTTTCCAGCAGAGCATGTAGGCTGAAGCCTATAATTCCATCATTTGGAAGACTTGAAGCAGGAGGATTAAAAGTTCAGGATCAACTTGGCCTACACAGCAAGACCCTGTCTCACCTCCCCTAGCCTCCTCCTGTGACATCGATCCTTAGTCTTCCAGTTTTGTTTTTCAAAGGTCCCCTTTCCTTCCCAGAGCAATTGTTAGAAAGGAAGGAAGGAGGGAAGAAAGAAGGGAAGGAAGAGAAAAAAGAAACACATTTATGGCTTGTTTCTTTTCTGCTAAGAGCATGATTGCAAAGCAGTTTGCACACTACCTGACCCAGAGGGAGGTGACTCACATCCTTTCCCCTTCTCTTGTGGATTCTGAACAAAGCCCAAAGGCACACTTCCGCCTCTCCTGCTGACATCCTCCGAGAAGAAAGTACATCTGTAAGACTAGGAACAACTTGACTTGTCAGGGGCTCTTCTCCCCAGGACTTCGTGTGACTCCTCATGATTCCATCTGCTGGAGCACTTCATGTGGTCCCTCATGACTCCCATCTTTCAGAGTAGGGCTGCAGTTCTGACAACTGAGCCTTTCCTTGATGACCTGCTTTCAGACTTTATAAACCAAGTACACCTAACCGATTATCTATAGAGCATTTCACCCAAACACAAAATAATACACCTTTTTCTCTACATCTCATGGAACTTTTCTCCAAAATTGTTCATATACTCAGACACAAAGCAAATCTCAACAGATATGAGAAAATGGAAATAACTATTCCATTCTATCACCATGCATTAAGCTGGATATCAACAAGAACAGAAACAACAAAAAGCTCACAAATTCAAGGAAACTGAACAACTCTCTACTGAATGAAAACAAATGAGTCAAGATAGAAATTAGGAAAGAAATTAAAGACTTCTTAGAGGTAAATGAAAATAAAAATACAACGTACCCAAACTTACGTGACACAATGAAAATGGTGCTAAAAGAAAATTCATAGCACTAGTGCCTACATTAAAAAAAAGGAGAGATCTCATCCTAGCAACTTAACAGCATACCAGAAGGCTATAGAACAAAAAGAAGTAAACAAACCATAGAGGAGTAGACAACAAGAAATAATCAAACTGAAATCAATAAAATAGAAACAAAGAGAACAATAGGAAGAATTGATGAAGCCAAGAATTGGTTTTTTGAGAGAATCAACAAGATAGACAAACCCTTATCCAAACTAACTAGAAGGCAAAGAAAGAATATCCAAATTATCAAAAGTAGAAATAAAAAAGGGGGCATAACATTAGACACCTAGGAAATCCAGAGAATCATAAAGACATAATTTAAAAACCAGTATTCCCAGCCAGGCGGTGGTGGCATATGCCTTTAATCCCAGCACTCTGGAGGTAGAACCAGGCAGATCTCTGTGAGTTTGAGGCCAGCCTGGTCTATAGAGCGAGATCCAGGACAGGTACCAAAACTACACAAAGAAACCCTGTCTCGAAAATCCAAGAAAACAAAACAAAACAAAACAAAACAAAACAAAACAAAACAAAACAAAACAAAATACCCAGTATTCCCTCAAATTGGAAAATCTAAAAGAAATGGGTAATTTTCTCAATAGATACCATTTGCCAAAGTTAAATCAAGATCAGTTAAGTAATTTAAACAGACCTATAACCCCAGTGAAATAGAAGAAGTAATTAAAAGTCCCCCTCCCCCCAAAAAAACCCAAATAAACAAAAAAACCACCCAGGGCCAGATGATTTTAGTGCAGAATTCTACCAGACTTTCGGAGAAGGGTTAACACCAACATTCCTCAAATTATTACACAAAATAGAAACAAGGAACATTGCCCAATTCATTTGTGAGGCCACAGTCACCCTGATACCCAATCCACATAATAACTCAACAAAGAAAGAGAATTACAGATCAAGTTTTCTTATGAACATAGAAGCAAAAATTCTCAATAAAATACTTGCCAACCAAATCCAAGAAAACATAAAAAAGATCATCCACTATGATCAAGTAGGCCTCATCCCAGCAATGCAGGGGAATTCCACCAGGGAACTCCTACAGCTCATAAACATTTTCAGCAGAGTGGCTTGGTAGAAAATTAACTCATAAAACCCAGTAGCCCTCCTATATACAAATGACAGACTATATACAAAGGAAGAAAGCAGAGAAACAACACCCTTCACAATAGCCTTAAATAATATAAAATATCTTGGGGTAACTCCAACAAAGCAAGTGGAAGACTTGTATGACAAAAATTTCAAGTCTTCAAAGAAAGAAATGAAGAAGATATTAGAAGATGGAAAGATTTCCCATGGTCATGGATTGGTAGAATTAACATAGTAAGAATGACCATCCTACCATAGCAATCTACAGATTCAATGTAATCCCCATCAAAATTCCAACACAATTCCTCACAGACCTTTAAAGGAAAACTCTCAACTTCACATGGAAAAACAAAAAAACCAGGATAGCTAAAACAATCCTGACCAATAAAAGAATTGCTAGAGGTCCCACCATTTCCAATTTCAAGCTGTACTACAGAGCTATAGTAATAAAAACCACATGGTATTGGCATAAAAACAGACAAAACAAATTGACCAATGGATAGAATTAAAGTCCCAGATATAAATCCACACATACATGAACACCTAATTTTTGATAAAGAAATCAGAAATACACACTGGAAAAAAAGACAGCATATTCAACAAATAGTTAAACTGGATGTCTGTATGTAGAAGAATGCAAATAGATCCATATTTTTCATCCTGAGCAAAACTTATGCTCACATTCAACATAAGGGCTGGAGAGATGACTCAGAGGTTAAGAGCACTGGCTGATCTTCCAGAGGTCCAGAGTTCAATTACTAGCAACCACTTGGCTCACAACCATCTGCAATGAGATTTGGTGCCATCTTCTGGTGTGTAGGCATACATGCAGACAGAACACTGTATAAATGATAAATAAATAAATCTTAAAAAAAAAAAGAACTCAATGAAAAACCAGATACACAGAAGAGAAAGTGGGGAACAGCCTTGAAAGCATTGGCACAGGAGACAACTTTCTGAACACTCATAGCGCAGGCACTAAGACAGTTAACAAATGGGATCTCATGAAACTGAAAAGCTTCTGTAAGGCAAAGGACACCATCAATCAGACAATGTGGCAGCTTACAGAATGGAAAAAGATTTTTACCACCTCCACATCTGATAGAAGATTAATATCCAAAATTCCATCACATATAAAAAAATCCAAGAAAGTAGGTATCAAAAACCAAATAATCCAATTAAAAATGGGGTACAGATTTAAACAAAGAATTTTCAATAGAGGAATCTCAAGTGGCTGAGAAACACTTACAGAAATGTTCAACATCCTTAGCCCTCAGGGAAATGCAAATCAAAACTGCTTTGAGATTCCATCTTTCACCTGTTGAATGGTTAAGATCAATAATACAAGTGACAGTTCATGCTGGAGAGGATGTGGAGCAAGGGAAACACTCCTCCTTTGCTGGTGGGAGTGCAAATTTGTACACTTTGGAAATCTGTGTTCCTCAGAAAGTTGTGAATCTACCTCAAGACTTAGGTCTACCACTCTTGGGAATACACCCAAAAGATACTCCATCCTATCACTTGCTCAACCATGTTCATAGTGGCTTTATTCAAAATAGCCAGAAACTGGAAATAACCTAGATTTCCCTCAACAGAATGAATAAAGAAAATGTGGTAATTTACGCAAAGGAGTATTACTTAGCTGCTAATAAATAAATAAATAAATAAATAAATAAATAAATAAATAAATAACATCATGAAATTTGCAGGCAAGTGGATGAAACTAGAAAAAAATCACCCTGAGTGAGGTAACCCAAACCCAGAAAGACAAACATGGTATCTATGCATTTACTTATAAGTGGATATTAGCCATTAAGTAAATGATAATGAAGCTATAATCAGTACACTCAGAGAGGTGAGACAAAAGGGAGGAGTCCGTGGGGGATGCTTTGCTTATTTTCGCCTTCTTGCTTTCCTTCAGGCTCCACGATGCTGAGGAGGTTGACAACAAAACAGTATAATAAGATCTGGAACTGATTTCATCTCCATCCTTCCTAGTTTTCCTGGAGAACCCGGGGAGATGACCCTAGAAGCCCAGACTCCAGGTTACCACATCTGTCTCGACAGGACACTATGTCTGTCATTCCTCTATTTGCTCTTCTGCTGAGACAGAAAAATAGTTCCTGTCCTGACTCCGAAGCCCAGCAGTGAGTGATGGATGAACCCAGGCTTCATGATGTCCGTGCCTCTCCACCCACCTGCCTCCTCCTTTATCACATCCCAGAACTCACTCACAGCACAATGTACTTTTACATGTTTTTATTAATCCCAAAGATTCATGATTGATATAAAATTTATTAGAGCAAATTAAAATTATTACACAACTTAATTTTGACTTTGAGGAGATTCCGGAAGGGAATTGTTTTCCTTGACAACTTAATAAAATAACTCATTGGTTGTTAGTGCACTGCATCGAGGGTGGGAGTGTTCGCACAGCAGGATTGCTCCCGGGCCTCAGTTATAAACCTCTGCACCTTCAGTCGCCAGCCCAGGGCATGAAAGTTACCGGAAAGTTTTAATTTAATTTTTAAGGAATATGTTTATCATTTTAGTCATATAGAAAACTTTTCAAACTCAATGACTAATTTCCAAAGTTGTTATAACAAGCTCCAAAACAAAGAATTATATTAAAATTGAAATATGAATTCTCTCAATCAAGAAACACTTCTATTGTGTATAATTCTAAAATTTTCAACCACTTGTAATTTGATCCATGAGGGGTATAATCATATGAACTTTTGTGAATGTCTTTATGAGACACCAATGCTTAAGGAAAATTATACTAAATCCATTGTCTTTTTTAACACTGGGAGTGACAGGATGTGCATGTGTTAGAAACCATCTTATTCACAAAGACCGCAGGAGGAAAGCAGAAGGCTGCTTGGGGCTCTATTTGTATATCTCAGGCATGGGCCACCATGTCAGAACTTTGTGACTTCTTATTTCATAATAGGACTTCTCCATGGAAAGAAATCTTAAGGCACAAAGGCCTCATAGTCATCTTTGGAGACAACAATGTAAGACCCAGGCACAATCTGGTTTTTCAGGGCAAAAGCCCAAAAGTTGAGCCCACTTTAGGGCATCATTGAGAGGAAAACATCCTTGGGTGCCACTGGCATTAAGAAGAGAGCTTTCCAGGAGTTGGCCTGGGTCCAAGGTGCAGGGAGGAGTGGGATGTGCTCCCATGTCACCTAATGGGGGTGGTATTTCACTTGGCTGGAGTCCCACCTTACGCCTGGCCAAACACACATATTGGATGCCGTATTAGTTAAGGGTTTCTTGAGAACACAACCAATAGCACATGCAGACATACATTCGCACATATATTTTGGGAACTGGATCATATAACTATAAAGTCCAAAAGTCCCATAGTTCACTAGTCAAAACGGAGAGGGCTGGCAGGTGGCAGAGCTGGCACTGAGGTCATAAGAACTGGACAGCTGCCTGGCACCTCACCAGCTGGAGCACTCGGGACAGCAGGCCCAGCACCTCGCCTGGGCAGCACATTAGAGCTGACCCTGTTGGCAGGGGTGTGGGTGAGCCAGCCCTAAGAACATGAGCAGGAGCCCCTCACCAACTGTGGCAGGTGGGAGAGCTAGCCGTGAGGTCATGAGAATGAGAAAGCTGGCCCTGCCCCCACCAGCTGCAGCACTGAGCAGAACGGCTCCTGTACCTTGCCTGGGTAACACAATAGAGCGGACCCTGATGGTGTAGGTGTGGGTGAGCCAATCCTGAAGGCATGAAAGCAGGAGAACCAGCCCAGCACTTTGCGTCTTGCTGCAAGGGGTGAACTAGCCAGGGCCGTGCTGGAGAGCACACTCTGGTAGTGAAGATAGGAGAACTGGCTGGCTGACCAATCCTGCAACTACCCAGGTCCAGAACCTGGGTTATGAGTTGGCCCACCCCAACATCCATCTTATCTATGATCTGCATATAAAGGGGCTGGTCCTACAGATCCAAAGCTGCAGGATCTTCATGACACAGTGCAACAACAGGCTATCCAAGAGAAGCCCTAGTGACAGCCCCGTATCAATAGTGTAGCAGAAACCAGAGGCCTTGAACCAGACCAATGACTCATTGCAACGAACACTTGCAAGGAAAGATGTGTGGACTAAAGGGTAAATAAACTGTGACTCACTGGGGCACACTGCAGCTTCCACGAAGAGACTTTCCTTTTTTCCTTTTCTTTTAAGTTTTATTTTATCTTATCTTGTCGGGTTGGTTGCAAGGGCAGAGGGTGGACATGAAGGGATGGGGAGATGAATGGGATCGAGATTCAAGATGTGAAATCTACAAAGGACCAATAAAAAGTTAAATTAGAAAAAAACAGGGCGTGGAGTGGGTGACTGTTAGTCCTGAGTGTCAATGCCTAGAAACCAGGAGCTCTAATGTTTAAGAGCAGGTATCCCAGCTCAAGTGGTGCTCAAGAGGAGAGCTGTCCTTCCCCGCCTGTTCATTCTAGTCTGACCCTCAATTGGTGGGATGGGGACCATCTATACCTGTGAGGGTAGATCATTTGTACTCAGTCTACTCATTTAAATACTTACAGCTTCCAGAACAATGTTTTACTAAGTTTCTGGGTCAAGTAGCACTTCAAATTAACTGTTAGAGGTTGACCTCATTCAGCAAAGTATACTGGTTTGCTTACTTTCCAAATAAAGACAATCCAGGCCCACACAATACTAGTATCCTGCCCATGGCCAGAGATGTACTAACGCCTTCTCTAGCAGATGCAAAGTCCTGGAAGGATTTGACTTTTCTGATGATCCATGAATTCAATACCATGATGTTTAATCAACAATACGTAAATACGGACATAAAACAACACATTGTGCACTACCTCAGAAGAGTGTCAGAACAAACTCGTTTCCACCCCACTGCCCCTGCTTCTAGGTAGAGTTGAGTTCTAGTTTAGTTCTGCCTGATTTATGAGTCATTCTGCACTCAAAAAAATTCTACTGAATTTGCTTTGTTTGAAGATTCCCCCAATAACACAGATTACAGTTTAAACCTCTGGGGGACGGATATGAAATGATGCAATCTGTCCGCTGTGTTCCAGGCACACAGCAGAGCCTCTGCCAGTCTGTCAGGCCACAGAGGCAACTGTCCCACACTGTCATCTTCTCAGGCAGCCATTGCTCTCTTACATGTCTTCACTTTGGTTTCCTTTATAGCAGCAGAAAAACAAGACTTTTTCTTTTCCCAACAGGGGACGTCAGTTTTGTTTGTGTTATTCTGTCGGTGCCATTGTTGATGAGGTTAAGATCACAGAAGAGGCTTTGCTGACCGGGACTGTCACAGTGCCTGGACACCTCTGCCTCCTGGAGCTCTGCATCCCTGATTCCAGGGTGCATCCATGCCAGGCAGGAACACCCTGAAAGGTGAAGATTCAAGCTTCCAGGTAAGAAGAGGGTCTGGCATTGTCAATGAAGGAATTCCTAATAGCTGCAGAGTCTGTCTTTGGAATGACATGTCCATAGGTAAACACCATAATTCTTTGGAGTCTGAGGCATTTAGTGAAGTATATTCTATAATTTTCTACTATGTAACTTGTGTCTCAGAACATTTTCTATTTTCTTGCTTTCACTAACATTTTTGTCTTTTCTTTCCCTCCCTCCCTTCCTCCCTCCCTCCCTCCCTCCCTTCCT